ACTGTTCTGGCCTCCCCTCATGCACCCCCATTCCCGTCCCCTTTTTCGTTTTCTTGCTGTCAGGAAATTCCACGACATGGCTCCACCTCGCATTGTACACAGACTCGTACAATCCCTCCAGTTTCATCGCTGCACTCATCCTCATTGGGTTCCTCACCTCCTCAAGGGCTGCATCCAATAACCGTTTAGTGAAGTTATGAACAGTTGTTTTTACGTTTGCAGCAGCTAATGACCACCCCGGTGGATTGCTGACACCCTTATCGCGAAGCTTGCGTATATCCTCATCGAAGATCACTTCACCCTTTACAGCTCGCTTCATACTCAAATAATGACCTGATGCCTGTATTTCGTCCAATGCTCCTTTATCACGGATATACTTCGTGGGGTCCTTGAAAAACTCCTCCAGCAAGACATCCCGATTGGTGTCCACAATGCCCATGCCGTCCAGTTCCCTCGTAAGAAAGTCGCTCAGCTTCATTTCATTGACGCGAACTCTTCCTTTAAACAGTACATCTTCGATATTAGTGGAAATGGTAAATTTCATTCCTTGCGCTCGTCTTAGCCTTTCTGCTTTCAGTACCTGAGTGAGGGCTGCGTTTAGTTTTCCCCTTGCAATGGGAGTGACCGTATCCTTTCCTTCATAGTCCCTCCATTGCTCGAGAGAGAACACACCCTCGTGATAAAGCTTGTACACCTGGTACTCTGTTAAATTAAAAATAATTCTAAGAAGCCGCTGGTTTTGTACGTAAGGATCCGGCTCCTGAACAAACATCTCCATCGTCACATTGTAGTCTTTCATCAACGGCCGCCCTGCCGCCAACATAATTCCAAAGGAAATCACTCAGCCTCATGTTGGTGCTGCTAGTGTTTCCCTCCTGCAGCATTTCCTTTACGCTGCTGCTCATGGTCCACTTTGGTTGCTGCGTTTCCTCCACCCCTCTGCGAGTTGCAGCGTCGGAAACATCGCCGGGGATGCCGCTTCGAGGCGCCATCACAACACCCGTGTGGTGAAGCATCCCACTCGCACCGCCCAACTGCGGCCAGCAGGTGCCGCTGGCTCCAAAGGACAGTCGCGGCTGTTTCCTCCCGCAGTCCCAATGACGTTGGGCGTGGCACTCGCACGGCTCGGTGGTCGGTGCGCCATGCAGCCGCACTGCGACGCCTGTCGGTGAAACAGTCGAGGCCCACCGCCCCCGCAGCAACACGAGGCGTGCAACCAACCCCAACACCGCCACACCATCGCCCTTTTTCATTTTGTTTTATTCACGTTGTCCGTCTGTTTGCCCCATCACCGACACAAAAATAAGTGCACACCTTCACAAAAGGGAAAAAACAAAGAGAAAAGGAGGCACGATCCCACCGTCCCGCCGCGGGTCAACACTCTCCTCCACCCACAGCCATTGCCGCACAGGAAACCGCAGTCATATCGCAGAGTCAGCACCACAATGTGCACCACACCATCGTGCACCGAACAATGGGCGAGACGCGGCCATGCATCGCCCCGCTCCATTTTACCATCACTCAAGTGTTGCGTGCCCGCACAAAGTAGCAAACACAATCAGAGTGCACACAAACCCAATCATCCCCCTCACTCGATGAAGCACATTATTCGCATGGAGTGACAACATTTGAGGACACCAGCAGTAGCTGTCTGCATGGAATTTCCCTGTCAACCCTGTAAGGACACAAAAACTCTGCGGAGTCAAGGTGGCAGCCCCTCGGTGTTGCCCGCAGTTCAAATGGCAGGAAAGAATTCCACGCACACATAGTTCCGGATCCCTCGCTGTTTGAGTGCACACCAACAGAACGTACAAAAGAATTAGTGCGCGCAGGATGAAATTGAAATACTTGAAAGCGTCAACCTGCTTTGTCCAACGACGTTGGCAAGCAGTCCCACACAATCCAATCAAAGTGGCACGCCGGACAGAATGGCGTCCGTCAATCAATAAAAAAATGCGACACTGAAAAGGAGCAGAGAAGAGTTGGCGCATGCGACTGCCAGTGACGACTGTGAGCAAACCCGCCAGCACCAACTGAGGTGCCGAGGAGCACGTTTGTGTGGAACTGGCCGTCAGGCAGAGAGGATAAAACAAAAGGCCAGCAAACCCTCTCGTTCAATGTCTCCTGACCGCGACACCAGAATCAAAATACCATGGACGATAAGAGCGGCAACGCCTTCTCCAAAACATCTTGTCAAGAAGCCGCAGGACCTCAGGAAGAGAGGAAGGCAGCGGCGGCAGCCACAGCGGGGGAGGCAATAAAACGGCTGGCAGGCACCTTCACGTCGACGCGCACACCACATCCGAGTGGGCTGGGAGCACAGATCGAACCGCTCGGAAACACACGCATCAAATCCGCAAAACAAAGCTGCGTTGAATCGACAGGAACCCCCCGCCCAAAACAAATTTAAAAAGTAGCGTTTTTCAAGGGGGAATCCGCTGTTCCGACGACGGCACGGACGCCTAGCAGGAATTTCTTGCAAATCTCCCTTCGCAGGTCCGAAAGAAAAACGCAGCGGAATAAAAAGAGAGCGCAACGACGCAAAAAAAATAATCCTCCTAACCGACCAGGTGGCAGGCCGCCCTCGCGCAAGTGGAAAAAACACAACTTCACTCCGGTCTTGTCGTGGTGGTCGTCTCGCAACTATTTTTTTTTCTTTTTCGCCGCAGTGCACATCCCCCTCCCACAAATCATTTGTTCGAGCCACGTTCCTGCGGCCAAACATCGCGCTGCTGGATCCCGCGGCACAGTCCTCGGCACAGAAGTGAGGGGAGGAAGAGGGACCGCAGAAGGTGCGAGCAAATCCGAATTCGGTGGCGGTCGCTGCAGTGAAGATTGACGTCCCACGCGGTGTCCCTTTTCTAGGTCCGGTCCTCACCGTGCCATGCTCTCAGCGTGCGGTGCGCCGGCCGCGCCGAACATCCACACGTGCTTGCGTCTCACCGTCGCTCCCAGCCCCGTTCGTTGGCTGCATCAGGGATGCCGCCATCCGGAGAAGGGCATAAGGACGTTGCACCCAACAAAACCTTCAGAGGCACCCGCTGGGCCAACGACGACCGTCACTGCGGGATGTGCGGCCCTTCCGCCGCTCACCTCGAATCGCACCTCTACGCCTCCTCGAGCAGCAGCAGCGGCATAAATACACCGGTCCACTAGAGGCCGTCACCAGCCATTGCAGGAAGGCCACTGTGCCTCAGTGCCATGAAACCCGAATTGCATTGACGGGCCAATTCGGAAAATCCTGTCGCATCCTCCCCCAATTATGCGGAAACACATCCGTCGTGCATGTGTCCACCGCAGCCAAATGAATCTGGTCCAAATACCCTCCAAATCAAATTCCCCTTTCCCCAAGCCATTCCTTCATTCCATACGCCCTGACCCTCATCCGCACGTGCCCACTCACACAAACCGCCATAGACAGATGGTGGCCGCCCAACTCTCCGGAAAAACATGCCAAGCAGGCACGCGCATAACAAATGACATGCGCAAAAGCACGGCACAACGGCGGAGAAGCGCACACCAAAAGAATGCGGCCCTCCACAGCAGTCGCAGACCACCGCGCGCATCACACCCGCAGGAAGAGTGACTCGCGGTGCGCGCTCCCTCTCTCCTCCTTCCCTTCATGCCCACGGAGGAAGCAGCAGCCACCCGCAACCGCCAGCACACGCTACAAAAGAAGCATCAAAATCCACTGCAATGTGCATTCTATGTGGTTGTGTGTGTGCCTGCAGAAGCACGAGGCAAAAAAGTAAAAACAGGAGCGGAGCATGTGAAGGGAAGTACAAAAACAGTACAGCAGAAGTGCATGGCAGGAATGAAGAGAAAAAGACTGCTCAAGCTCATGACATTGCACTGCAGACAAAGCAGCGGCAATTCATAAAAAATTTATCAAAATTTAAAAAAAAATTCATCTTCACCTTTCCACCCCTCACAATTCGGGAAAAAATAAAAGAAGAAAAAAAGAAGAAAAAGGGGAAAAAAAGAAGACACGAAAAAAGAAAATGAAAAAAAATCGTCCTCTATTACAGCTACACCCAAATCATAATAATAATAATAAAGAAAAAAAAGAAAAACCACACACAAAAAAAAAGCACCTAAATACCATGTTGCTCCAGAAATTGTCTGCATATTTTGTCCGAAAATAAAAGATATTTAAATGTCTTTCAGCCGTCTGACCCTCTGTGTGTCCGCACATCGTTTACATTTCATGGGTCATCTGCGTGTTGCTGCTCCCCTCAGCCCTCTCATCGGCGTGTGAGTGCGGCCCGCAGAGCACAGTCACTCTTCTTGTGTGCATGGGGACTGAGAGAAGCACGCAGACATGACGGGAGTCGCGTCTCTCCATCGGGAGAGTGAGCGCAGAAAAAAAAAGAAAAATCATCAGGAGGAAAAGAAATGCCCACGAGGCCGACACCGAAGGGTGCGACATCGCATGAAAAAAAACACAGTGAGAAAGTCAAAGAGAGCAAGCAAAATCCTAAAATCACGGCGGCAGGGTGTGGCTGTGGGTGTGGCGCTGCGGGTGTCTGCCCGCCCTGGCCGCAATAAAAACAAAACAAGAGGAAAAGAAATGTGTGCTCCGCCCCACAGGCCCTCGCCGCACGCCCACACGTCACGGCTCCCTCAGCGCGCCGTTCGTCGCGGCCCCTCCTCATGCGTGCAGCAGGCGAGGCGCACAGGGCCGTCGTCATGGGCGTGTCGGTGGGTGTGCGAGTGGAGTAGTTGGGCGGGAAACACACGGCACCCCTCACAGTAAGAGTGCAGCATGAAGCAATTGAAAAGAGGGAAGAGTAGAAAAGAAAAAGAAACGTCCATATTGATTGCCCCAAGGCAACAAGCAAAAAAAGAAGGGAAGTGATTTGCAGAAAAGAAAGCAAAAACAAGGAAATGGAGAGAAAAAAAAAGAAAAAAATGGAATTAAAAAAATTCATTGGGTAATGCTGGGATGCCGCTCAGTTGTTGCTCCACAGAATTTCGCAACGTTGCTCTCCCCAATTCATTCAACAGAGAGCCGCAGTGCCCCACAGCCCCAGAAGCAGCAGCAACAACACCCGAGACACACACCCATGCACGGTGCTGTCACCAATTAGATACATGGCCGCCAACTCGCCCAAATGCCCCTTCTCAAGCAAAATGTCAGTGTCCGAGGGTGTTGTTGCGTTGGACTCCGATGGGATCTTGGTTTCCCCAGGCGTTGTGTTTGTATTCTCCGGTTTGGTGTCGACCGTCTGTGGCGCCTCCTTGCCGTCTTCAAAAGAGAATTCGGCTCCTTCAGTCCAAGAGACGTCGTCGGTGTCCTCCGCGGACGTCGGTTCGGCGTCACTCGTTGAAGAAGTGGGGCTGCTGTCTGAGCTCATTGTTCTCTCGGAATCGCTGCCCCCCGCCTCGAGGCTGAGGCTTCGCTCCGCGCCAGTGGTTCCGGTTCCAGTGGACCGCACGTCGTCGTTTTCAGCGGGAAGCTCAATGCTTTGTCGCACTTGGTGTTCGCCGTCAGCTGGTGCAGTGGCCGTATCCACACTCAACGACGCAGTCACTGGAGACGTTGATTCGCCACTCCTGCCATCCGCTTCTCCCTCCTCCTCTGGCATTTCTTCATCATAACTTTCAGAGGATCTTTCCAAATCAGTGGCCTCCGTTAATTCCTCTGACTCCGCTGACTGTGGGTCTTGTGGCTGCACATCTGAATCCCGCTGCATCGATTTATAATCTTCATTCAGCGTGGTTTGCTGAGCCGTTTTGCCCTGGTGAAACTGGGCATTGTCATCTGAACGAGAATTCTCTGCACTCTCCGCTGCGATGGCGGGTTCGGAAACAGACGATCCCCCGGCAACCGTGGAAGAGGGCGCTGCAGGCACCAGATCATCGACGCTTTCTTCCTCTTGTTCATCAGTATCATCCTCAGTCAATTCCTCATGGCTGACGCTTTCTTCACTCCTTGACTCGGAAGCAACTGAGACGTCTGTGCTGGCCACCTGTCCTGTGGGTTGTTCCTCAACACCCAGTGATGGAATGGTGACTTTGCTGGTTTTGAGTTTATACAGATCATTTCTCAACAGTTCCTCGTTGTACAGCATGACGTTGGTCACCGTCACATGGCCGCCCGTTGCACTTTGGTGCTCACTGTCCCCACCGATGTAGAAGTGTGAAATCCTGTGCGAGTTGAACAGACTCTTATCATAGCTCTTTTGGTGGATTTCCTCCTTATCCACAAAGACAGTCCATTCATCATAATTCATTCGCAGTACCACCTGATACGTCTTGTTTGGTTCCCACTCATCAACAACCTCCGCATTACCAGAACCCTCCGCTATGGCCAACCACTTCTTTTCATGGGTGTACGACAGACCAAAAAGCACCGTGCTGCTGGTGTCATTCATCCTCACACCCATCAAAGGGATGGGACTGCTGCTTTCTTTCGGCACCTCGTGGATGGACACCGTTGCCACAAGAGTGAACTCAGTGTTAGCAAAGTAGTACGGCACAGTCTGCCCCATGTCGCCAACAGGCCACACCGCCCATGATCCGGGTCCTTTGAACGTCAATCCATTGGGAACCCTTGGCTCCCCATTCGTCACTGTTGCGTTCACGCCGAGGTACTCGTCCCTCCATGTGTTCTCAGAGAGGTTACCGGACAAAAAGCCAACAAGCCCATCAGTGGGAACACGATCATTGCACATGCCCTTTTTGCGCACGTCAACAGTGCCACTGGAACCGGAACTGCAGTATTGCAAGGCGCTGTCCAAATCCTTCCATGTCTTCACCACTTCCTTTATCCGCTCCAGTTTCTCGGCCAGACGCACAGCAACAAGATTGTATGCTCCGTCTTTCTTGTTTTCGTACAGTGAAATCAACTCCTTATTATCCTTCCCACTCTTCATCAACAGCGAGCTGGCGGCGGCGTCATCATTTTCACGAGATATCGGCCCAACATCATACACACGTGCCTTGTCCGTCACCCAAAGATGGAGCCGACCTTTTCCACCTTCATTGTCCTCCTTCGGATACACCGGCGCGGTGATGAGCATCACCTTCTTTCCCTCAATGATTGCGGTGGTGGATCCACTCTGGACACCGTACCCCTTTCGATTGTGTGAGTTGCCCCACACGCGGGTAATTGGTTTTACGTGACCATTCCAATTGTACCCATTCTCAGTGGACCTGTGAACGTCATAGTAGCCTCCATCACAATGAGCCATCATGAAGAGTCTTTCGTCGTATTGGTCTTCCTCCCACTTCACCAGGGTTGGATCCCTGCAGCCCTTACCAGGCGTCGTCGATGAAAGCTCCCATTTGTTCCCTGAATTGGAGAAACGCATAGACAGTAAAACGCTCTTTCCATCCTTGTCTTTGGCCTGCATGGGAAACACAAGCGCGCCGTCACCCATCACAGCACCCGATCCTCCACCGCCAATTAACTCGGTCAAGGAAACAGATTCTCTTTTTCCTTGAGGGTTTACCAAATGGGTCTCATTCCATCTGATTTTCTTCTTTCCATTTTCTTCAGTGAGAGTTCCCTTCACGAGTAAAAGGCCCCGCTCATTCGTGTGTTCAACCTGCTTCTCTGTATGTCTGTATTTCCCCACCAGCATGTAGACGCTGTCCTCAATTACAACTGTCGTTGGCCGCAACACTTCTGTTGTCCTAAAATTATTCGCGGCGGTGTCCACAAGCTGCATGCAAAACAAACTTATATCCGACGTCAAAATATCCATTGAGTCACCCTTTATATCCAGGTGCTTTGACACAATCCCAGCAGAGCTGCCGGCTCCATCCTTTTCCCCGCACTGCGCTTCAGCCACGGCAAATACATCATCACCCACTTTAACAAGGCCAGGAACACGGAGCGAGGTAATTTTGCCGCCGTCCTCGTTAAACTCCCTCCAATTAGCAAATGATATCGGCGTCGTCCCTTTAAAAGGATCAACAGCGGCCCCTGCCTGCTCAGCGTGTGCACCTCCACTGCCGCAGCACACCCACATCACGACAAATAGAAGCAGCACCGCAAAAGTAAACACGTGCCAAGACGTGTTGGGCCTCTGCGGCTCACTCTCTCTTCCTTCCCTCCTCCTTCCGCTGGATCCGGTCACGCAGCGACGGTTGTGTGTGCGGGTTGCCTTCACTGCAGCAACACGTGAGAGCATAGAAATATGTGTGTGTGGGCGGTGTGTGTGCTGTTGTTGGTGCTTTCAGTGCCTTTGAATTTCACAGTAGCGATTCGCGTTTGTTTGCTTTCCTTCCTAACGTGTGTCTGTGTTCAACAAGTGAAGGAAGAAAAAACAAGCCAAGCAATAAATCAGACACGTCAGTGAGAATCAGAGCAGAGCACCCATGCGGAGAGCGGGAATCGAGAGAACACAGAAGGAACAGCATGGAAAACAATTGCACACCGAAAACAGCAACAACAACAACACGGTGGAACACGGCGGAAGCCAACACACACAAACAGAGAGAGAGAGAGAGAGAGAGAGAGAGACATGGACGCGGAATTTCATCATTCGGCGAAGCCATTCAAAGTCCTGCCAAAACAGTCCGCAAGTGATGCAGTGATCAGTCACACGCTCCCGGTGCACCGCCGCGGCAACGACGCGGACAAAAACGGAAATATGTGCACAAACGTGGACCGCACCAATTCACAGCACCGCCACACGACACTCGCTCTCTCGGTGCATCCCACGTCCCGCCTCAAAAGACCTCGGCAAGCACCAATCAAAAAAATAATGAGGCGGCGAAAAAACAACTTCCCTGTAGGCCCTTCAGGGCTCCACAGCAACGCCACCAACAGGAGCGTGCATCCCTCTGCTTGCCGCAGTGCAGGCCTCTTTGCTCCTGGCCTCTCGGGGCGTTGAACACCTCCCCGACCATCTCGCACCCACAAAGCAAGCCGCACGCAGATGTCATTCATTTTCCCCGCAAATGGTGTTGCCGCTCTGAATTATGTGCAAATAATCCATAGCACATCACCCAAAGTTTCTTTCCATTGCCACAAAAAAAAAGACAAAAATGTTTTGAAAAGTCAACATAAGTACCACTTCGCCCCATTCACTGCGCATTGCCCCGCACATAATCGTTGTTATTCGCCCTCCGCTCTCCTCTCATCCCATTCCTGCCTGCCAGGACGTACCTCACAGTCGCAATCCCTCCCAAGAAAGACTTTACCACATGCTGGCACGGGCCACATTTTCCCTTTGCATCCCGGTCTCACGCCCACAGGAGGGCAAACAGGGGGATTGCGTGCATGTGCGTGTGGATGACCATGTGCAAAACTCATCAAGATTCAAAGAAATACGGCAAACAGGACGACCCCGCCCACAGATTGGGAGTCCACTCGTGAACCGCAGCGGGAACAGCAAACGCCCTCTTGTTGCTTTTCTGAGAGGCCGATTCATTACCATCACGCCGCCTCAACAGCGTGTACAGGCGAGCGGAGGAGGTGACTGCTCAATCGCACCTCGTGTCGGAGGCGCCCACAACGTCTCCCTGCGGCCACGTGCCGTCAGCAACAAGCCGCATGGCAGAACGCAACACAATTCACCCCCTCGCCAATAAAATAAATAAAAATGCATCTCACCGCCATAAAACGGCCATCAACACCTGTTTCACGGCAGACACCAAATGCCAAGGGATTAATTAAGAAAAACAAACACACGGATGATCTCACACAATACATTCCAGCAAAGGATAGTCTCTCAATCCTAAAAATAAAACACCGTAAATTCACAAAAACCGCCTCATCGCGCCAAAAATCGTGCGATGCCCCTCCTCGCAATGCTCTGCTGTCCACAGACACCGCCCTCTGTGGTGTTCCAGCAAAAAAATAAACATTCACAAACTAACAGAAATAGAAGCCTCCACCCGCAACGTGTGCACCACCGTGGAGCATCGCTTCTCTCCCCGCAAGTAAAAAAGGCGCCGTCACACCATCCGCAAGACTCGCCACAAACACGCCAAATTGCGACGTACGCAACACGCTCCGCCGTGACCATCGCCTCCCGATAAGGCAGCCCACTCCCGTCCACCGTGTCTGCCGAGCAGGACACACCAGGCCTGCCGCTGCAACGCAAGAGAGATTCAGAAATACGCAACGGATCCCGTCGCAGTCGTTGGCTCAGCCGCCGTGTTGAGGTTTGGGAGGGGTGGATAGAAGAAAACAAAACGGGCAAATATCCCCGCGGAATCCCGCATTCCACGCAGTCCCAATGGCCCGAGGGTCCTCTAGGGACGCCTGGGAGACGCATCCGCCACACTCACACGCACCATCATTCACGGCACCCCAATCGAATCCAGCGGGCCTCGCGAAGCACACGGCGCGCCTCAATGGCGTGGCGAGCAGTCTTCTCGAAGAAAAGGACGCGTGGCGATGGTTCCCCTCCCCGCTTCACTTTTCTTTTTTTCTCCTTCTGCTTTTGGTGGCATGTCACAGAAGAGGAGCGTAATTCATGCCCCTCAGCCCTTCTCTCGGTGCACGCAGAAAAACAGAGAGGGGAATAATAAACGAACGAGTCAGGCGGCACGGAGAAATAAATGTGCGGGAGACAAACAAACCAAAAGAATAAACAAAAAGCCCGACAGATATGCACGCAACATATTCAGCGGAAACGGGTGTCACCTTCAGTGGGTAAATTAGTAGCCAATTGCGCCGTCGATCGCCCACGATAAGAAGCAGCGTTGTGCCCACAATATTTTTGGCTTGTTTTCTGCTTCCCTCCCCTTTTATTTCTCCCTCATTCATCATCTTCACTTTTCTTACTTTTACTGCTTGTTGCCGCCCTCTCCCACCTTCAGCAACACGGCCAAGTTTGGACGCTGCGCCCTCCCCCTGTCATGTCAAATATATGCTTGCGCTCTTTAAAACCCATGGCGTACTCGCTTAAATATTATTCGTGTAAATAACCAAACAGAGGTGTAAATTTTTAAAAATTAAAGCAAAACAAAATAAGAAAGCAAAACCTGTGTTTGTCGCCGAATCATCTTCCCTTCGTCGTGAAAGGGCACAAAAGGCTCCTGTCGTAGTAAATACTTGGAACTCTTCGGATCTCATCATGCCCGTGGACCCGAATGCGTTGTATGCGTGCCTCATCCTTCACCCAAACGTCTAGGGGGACCATGCCGTTATATGGCTCCTTGTACCCATTGCAGCATGCTTTTAGACCGTTCCACTTCATCGTGGCATATGCATCGTTCGCACTCAAAGACTTGACGCGACGGTACCAGAGAGCGTCCGGTAGCTCCATTTTATTAGAGAGACGAATACTCGAGCTGCCGCGATGCACAAATTTGCCGTATAAGACATTTCGCTCCTGAAATCCAAGCAAACGGAGGCGTAAGCTGTAGTCGACATCCTCCACGTAAGCTGGGTAGAAGTTCTCGTCAAAATATCCCACCGTGCTGATCGCCAGGCGTGTCAACATAACAGATGTAAAACAACTGCTTTTTTAATAAGCGCAGAAGTGTCCGTAATGCTTCGAAAACGCCTTTTCACGCTCCTTCACAGAAGCATAACGGAAGCGGTCAGGCAGCAGCGCAGACGTCGACAAACGGCTATCGTTCACCGTGGAGCGCAGCACCCTCAAGCCCCGTCGCAAAACAGGACTGCACTCGCTCGGCTCATTCGCCACCTCCGCCGCCAACTCATCCATGCGAGCGGCATCATGCCTCGCCATTTCATGCACATCGCGTAGAAGGTTGGGAAGAAGATCGGGTGAAAACTCTGCGTCGCTGTTCGTTACAAAAACAAAAGGCACTTCCTCGCGCGGCAGCGAGATTGCAAGTCGTAGCCCAATTTTCACGGCAGCGCTGTGCCCGATGTTTTCCGGGTGATGACTCACAACCAGGCGTCCGGACCACTCATAGACCCTCTCGAGTTCCTGCAGGCACAACGACAGCATCGCCTCCCGCCCGTTCTGCACCAAAACCAACAGCCGGATTGGCACACTGATGTTGCACATCATCCTCCGAAAGTCCATCAGATCGAACATCAGCGGGACCACCATCAACGGGATAACGTCCGTCCCGTTATTATTTCCCCCCAGCTGCCGTGTCGTTGGGTCCACCAGAAGCCTTTCCCCGACGCAGCGGATATATTCCGCCCCGGTCGGATCAACACCAAAAACCATGCGCGGGATCGTCGTCAAGTATGAACTCCACTCTCCCGCGACCAAAACCATCAACATGGACAACAAATTAAAATTAGAAGAAAGATAAAGCACCTTTTCCAAAAAAGTCTCGTGGCTTCGGTTTTTAAAATGCGTGTAACTCTGCGCATATCCCGTTGGAGACAAAGCCAAGGAAGCAACTCCTGAAAGAAAGCAAAAAAAAGTATAATAAAAAAAAGATGCACAAAAATGGCTCCGTGTCAATGTGAAAAAAAAAAAAACTCCTTCCAGCGCAATGGCCACGCATGGATAAAGTCATTGGCCTTCCGTCCGCACAAAAAAGGCTCGGGTGCCCCAATGAAACCCTCCATGCGGGAGGCTATCAGGGACACCGCAAACCGCACCAGGTACAAAAACAAAAAATAAGCAAATGAATAAATCGATAATGAAGCCCAGCGCCTCAGCGTGTCTTCTGCAACGCCACTCGTCATCACAAAATATTAAAAAAGCAACAGTGTGGGAAAAGAGAAAGATCGAACGGAGGCACAAGTCCACCATCAAAAGTGACGGGGTTTTCCAAAGCTGCGCTCCAACACAGCAAGACTATTAAACCAAAAAAAAAAAAAATCAATCATCTCATGGGTAGGAACAAGAGTAAAATCAGGCGTCCGTCCACCTGGAGGGAGGAAGGTCTCCACCGCAGTGTTCTCCACAACGCAAACACTCTGCGGCCAGTGCTCGGTGTCGTGGGCCCCCTCGGAACGCAACAGCTGAAGTGTCCCCCTCCGGTCGCACTCGTGGCGGTGGTGGTATCCACTGCCTCGCTGCGTGCTGGTGGCGTCGACTACGATCCTGCAGTGTGATAGAGGGTGCCCGACAGGAGCAGTGCTGGGCTGGTTGGGCAATGCCCTCCGCGGCGAGACACCCAGCGCGACTCCTGGCCGCTGCGCTCACGCACTTCCCTCCACTCCTCTCCCTCCATTCCGCAACCGCACAGCCGCCGGCACATTGTCCCCGAAGCAACACACAAGTGAAAGCGTGGCAGCATA